AATGGGGGGGGGGGGGCAGATGGGCTGCATCTGAAATCACATTCTTCCCTACTATATAGTAGTTGAAAAACAGTGTGATCATAGAAGATGTCCAAATTCACAGTACCCATAAAATAACAAGCTAAAAAGTACCCAGATGAGCTACTTCTGGTGAGATTCTAAAGTGTGCATACGAATACGATGGTCACTTTACTATCTCATGAGGCCATAGGAGAGGATTTGGGAATGGCAGTGAAGTGTAACTGATGCTGGTAGATCACATGATATTGGCAACATGGCGAATGTAGTACGTCCAGATTACTTTCATACTACACACATTCATACTTTTTTACCGGTCATGAAGTAATTACTTATTCAAAATAAGAACCTACTCAAGAGACTATGCGATTTCGGACACAGCTATAGACTTGTGTCATATATCGTTTGTTATAGCGAATACAACCCTGACAGGCTGATAGGGGTTGCATTAACAACCGCCTCGCTCTACATTATCCCGCTTATTACATGGCTACCTACCAAATAAACCAATAATTTGACACATAATATTGATAACAAATATTAGAGTTTATTGATTTTAAAACGATTGTATTGCTCCAAAGTGAAGTGAACAGAACTGTGGCAATGCTCTATTTTTCATGGCAATGTATTATTCTAGCCTGACTTTGTCATACTCATATTCTAGTCAGAATATGAGTCTGAAACTGCTTCATTGGGCTTTGATTATGAGGCGTGCCTAAACCGAACCAGGAAAAAAAAAAACTCTGCACTCAATTGGATAGTCGGTAGACCTACAACCAATCAGAGCAATGCAGTTGTCAACAGAACTTACTTATTTTAGAAGTAAAATAACGAGTGTTGCTTCTTTTACTTACTCCTCCATGATGTAACACAGTCTCATCCCAAAAAGTCATATAACTGACGTTTTGGGACGTATTTTGACCATACGTCAATATCCGCCTTTTTAGGGCCCCCTTAAACGTCGGTAGATGGCGATCCCGGGCCGTCATACAACTGACGCTTTACCTTTAACGTCAGTTAGGTGACGGGTTAGGTTTAGGGTTAGGTTTAGGTATGGGGTAGAGTTAGGATCCCATAACCTCATCTACCGACGTTTAAGGGGGCCCTAAAAAGGCGAATATTGACGTATGGTCAAAAGACGTCCCAAAACGTCAGTTATATGACGTCTTGGGATGAGACCGGGTTGCATGATGCGACCAAAGGAGAAACCACAACGACCACAGGCTTTTCATTGCGTCCCATCTTCTTAGCGACCGTCAGAGCCAGGTGATAAGTTACACTTTTGCCGAATCATGTAGGAAAAAAAATATCTTTACGATCGACAAATGCCTTGATTGCAGTTTTCTGTTTGTCTATTAAAATTAATCCAGACCGAACTTCCCGACCAAAAAATGTTGTGGGCAGGGTTCGGGCTGGCATCCAGGCTAGTATTATTCTTAGCATTAAGAAATAACACCGCATTAAAATTCAACCAAGCCATGCAATAATAAGCCACATCATAAGGCAAAAGCCGATCTCGGATGGAGTGAGTGACATGACAATGGTTGAGGACCAGCATCTCTGCTCTTATAGGACAGTTAATGCACGTGAAAAACGAAGTAGGCCTATACAGTATTATTTGGCATTAGGGGCTGTTAAAATGTGTTTTTCCATTCCCCTCTGCTTCTTTTCCAAAGTTTTTCAGTGTGAACGCATAGGCGTGTTTAACTGTTTTGTTTAACTGACGAGGTTGCTGGCGTCTTTTCGTTTTCGCTTTGAAAGATTATGCTTTCTGTGTGAACCGGCACTCCTGTCCTGAGTGAGTAGCCTACTATAAGATACAGATTTGTGTGCTGGTGCTTTTTAAAAATTATCATGAGTTTAGTGCGTTCTCACATAACTCTGTTCTCATTTATTTGTATGTTCTACTTTTTGTTTGGGTTGTTTAATATTAGGATTTTGTTTAAAATACTCAAACCCTGCCCATTAAGCCCCGCCCAAGAGAAAGGTGAAAAATTATGAAGTCTGGGAGAGACTGAAAGAGGCAGTGAGAGAAAGTAATCATCAAAATTTATGTTTTTTAAGAATGTCTGTACTGTTTTACATGGTGCATTTTTGAAAAGTTAATTTCAAAATGGACAGTTTTGCAAAAAAAAAAAATAGTGTAATAAAAAATGTTTCTTGAGTATCAAATCAGCATATTATAATGTTTCTGAAGGATCATGTGACAATAAAGACTGTATGATGAGTAAAGAGTCTATACCCAATGTTTAGATCTGTTTGGGTATTTATGCAAATTAACACATATAATTAGATTATGCACCATTTGTCCATGTTAACAAACAATTGCAAAAAAAAAAAAAAAAACTTGAAATACATTTTTGTTTGCCTTGATGTAAATAATCAACTCTTGATGACATATATATGAGATATCATCGTGATTTTCATGATGATATCTAAAGGTTAAAATGTTTCACTTGAGAAAAAGAATGAATATATGAATGGGATATATTTGGGTCTTTTTCTAAACTTTCCCCTAATGGGATTCTTCGGGGCTTTTTTTTTTCCTTCCTCAGGACATATTGAGGATACAAAATCAGTTGAGTTTGCTTCTGTTGCAATTTGTTCAAGGTTGACCCCCATTCTGGCTTAAAATGACTGGACTTATAAGGATGACTGCAGGCTCAGGATGGGTAAGAGGAGGATGAGGAACAAGTTAGACACATTTTTTTTTCTCACGCCTTTGATATTTTGCTATTTGCTTCTAACTAAAAGCAAAAAAAAAAAAAAACAGACTACAATAATAAATAAATACATTAAAAAAATTCAGCGTCCAGTTTGCAAGAAGTCCAGAGTCTCTGCACTAGAACACGTTCTACAGCAAAACACTGTATAAACCATCCATGTAAAACCCATCGTTCACTCTTGATAGTGAAGTATCATTCTAAAGTCTAAAGAGACCCTCCTATTCATGAAGACTGTGCCCTCTCCACAGGTGGGACATCAGTAACGGGACATCATGTTCCTTTTCTTGAACAAAAACTATTTATTTTCGGAGTGGTAATACAGAATAATACAGAGGAGATGCTAGAAATCTCCATATTGTTCTTTTCACATATTCTATGAGCGTAGTTATTTTAGGTAACACTTTATTTTGATAGTCCACTTTAGACATTCAACTAACTATAAGTAACTTTGCCGCTACATGTCAACTAACTATCATTAGAGTATTAGTAAACTGTCAGCTTAATATCTGCTAACACTTTATTTTGTTGGTCCCTCAACAGACATTCAACTGACTGTAAGTAACTTAGCAACTACAAGTCGACTTGTTCTCCTAACCTGAACCCTAACACCTAACCCTAACCTAACAGTCTACTGACAGTACTACAGCCTACTAATACTCTAATGACACTTAGTTGACATGTAGTTGAAAAGTTACTTATAGTTAGTAGAATGTCTAAAGTGACTATCGAAATAAAGTGTAACCATTTTCTATGTTTTTGTTAGCTTCTAAGCTTAATTACTATAGATCTTTGTTAATTGTTATATTGTTTAGGCTTAGCCTCTGAAAGTGAATCAGTATTAAAGCGCATGACCAGACATTTGTAGCAGTTGGAAGAAGAAAACTTTGAAAAAACAATCCAACTTATTTCTGTCAAAAAATAAAATAATAAAGGAACTGCCGAATCTTTTCATATCTTTTTGTCATGTCTTTATGTTTTGCCTCAAATTATGGAGAGTATTCATAAGTATCTGTTATAAAATCATTATTTGTTTAAATTTGTATCCCCAACCCTAATGATGAAACACTTGTATGTTTTTTTATATAAGTAAAAAAGCTTTTTAGTCATTCGTTACATTATTCATTGATTGTATTCAATTTATGAATTGATGTGTTCAATTTTAGTGGTTAAAGAATCAGTCATGTTCAAAATGTATTAGCAGAATAAATGCTATAATGTAATAAATGAATGCAGTGTGTTTTTTTGTTTGTTTGTTTGCTTGTTTGTTTGTTTGTTTTTAGGCCATTTTCTATTAGATTTTAATAGAGTTTTGTGTTGGTTTCCATTACATATGTATTAATCCCAAGTTATTTGCGGACAACCAAACCATTAGAATTTAGAAGGTTTAATTTTTTTAAACAGAGCATGAAATGGTTACTAGTTTAGTTCTTTATGAATTCCAAGTAATTGTAGAGAAATAGAAATTGAAAATACAGGTGGGTAATTAAGACTCGCCACGTTCCAGCACCATACCACTATAACATCGCCTCAACGAATATGAGAATCACAAAGTTATTCATAGCAACGAATATGGTCCAGTTACATTTTCACAAATATACTTGGCTGGCTGGGTGTAAACCCAAAAAAGGAATTATTATCCTCATGAAGGTGGAAAGTAAATGACCACTGTCAAATTATGATGTATCCCTTCTAGATAGAATAAATGATTGATGTCTGGACATATCTGCAAAGGCTGCCAGAGTTGGACATATAATGCAGATAAGATCTTGTGAATGAAGAATGCTAATTTATATAAGTTATATACTGTATATTGTATATGTTTTTATTTAAGTTTGATTTTGAGAAGTATCTCCTTTTTTGCAAGTTGAAAAAGCTAAATTACATTATATATATATATATATATATATATATATATATATATATATATATATATATATATATATATATATATATATATATATATCCTAACATATACTGCAGTGCATGAAACACAAAAGAGTTGTCATTCATTTTATTTTAAAAAAGGAATTTGAGATAAATGGTTTTGTAATGCAGGCAGCTCATTGTGTTATGATGGGTGAGAATTATATATTATGTTATTGGAATAAGTTTATTTTCAGAAGTAAATTAAGTGTTTTAGGGCATAAGAGAGATGATTGAGGTTAAAAACAACTGTGGGATTAGTTTTTAAAAAGTATCCTGAACACTAGGAAATTTTATAAGCAATAAAAAAAATGGGAAAACTGTTTTGTAAAGAAATATTTATTTAGAGCTGAAATGAACACAGTACAGAACCAATAAATGTTTGAGTTTGTGTTTCTGAAGAAAAAATGTGTATTGCAATATTTTGCAGTCATCAAATCATACAGAGGAATTATTATCAGAATGAATAAGAAGGAAGAATAAGCTATTGATGATTTTGGTTTCTTAATTAAAATAAAAAAAAATGTTTATCAAATATATTACATATAAGACTGCACTCATTTAGTTCCAACACATGTTTTATGGTAAATCAGAGTAAAACAGAAATAAAAAAGACTTCAGAGTACCTTTTCTCAGACCCAGAGCCTGACTTATTAAAGTCTTACAATAATACGTTCTATAACATTAAATGAACCCATATGCATGTTAATCTAGTATACGTATACTGGAAAAGAAGCCAGCAAGAATGAGAATTTCTACACCTTTATATAATCTCCATATTTTATACATCATTATATCATCATCAACATTCAATAAAAAATTGCAAATATCAAACAAATTTATAAGATTTGTTGTTATTGTTTTCATTATCCAAAATTGTTTTCACTGTTAAAAATGAAACATCAGTGTAAAGTTCAGAAAGTGAGTTCTCCATCCACGAGTCAAGTTGAATCCTCAGTCAGTCTGACCTGTAAATTTGTATGATTATTATGTAACTCAAATTAACAACGCAGTAATAATTTATTTTATAATGACAAATATTTTGAGTGTTCAAAGTGTTAATTAAACACTTACCATCCTTAAGATGGTACCAGGATCCTCCCTATCAAAACAAAAAGTGATTAATAAAGAACTTGAAGAGATATTATGTATAAACATAGATTGCTCTCATCTCCACTGACCTGTTGATTTCTTCTTGTAGTAAATGAGTCCAGCAGCAGCTATGATGATTCCCAGCACCAGACCAGAAGCACCAATGGCGATTTTATTCCTCTCGGGCTCAGGCATAGAGGGATCTGTGAGGTACAGAATCCACGTTTTATTTTAATATTGACAGTGTTTAAGATTGGCTTAACATGTGTGAATGTAGTTACAGGAGCTTTGCATTCTTTTATTCAGTCATAATTGTTTGTTTGTCAAAATATATTATTTACATAAGTCCTATGTGAAGGAAAATAAATGTTTCCTCATACCCCAGTCTACGATGATGGGTTTAGTTAAGCCGGCGTGATCCACAGCACAGGAGATCTTCTCTCCAGATTTAGGAGTGTACTCCAGGTGGGAGTGGATCTGGTAGTACCAGTCTCCATCAGCCATCTCCTCAGTTGATGTCACATCAGACTTCACGACTTTACCGTCTCTCATCCAGGAAATTTGGATCCTCTTTGGGTAGAAGTCGTAAGCGCTGCACATCAACACAGCTGGATGTCTGCCACCAGCCTGAGTCACTGAGCTGAGCTTAACCTGTGGTGGCACTGAAACAATTACAATAACATATTAAATGCACATCCCACATGTTGTGATTACATGCATGCTTTACTATAATATAAAATGATCATAAATATTATTGTATGTGTTTTAGAGTCTATTTTTTTACATTTCCAAGGGCAAACAAAACTTAAAACACAAGCCATGGTTAATGTATTGTTTTATTTTGACATTTAAAAAATGTAAAAGGAATTTAAAAATTAGCAAACTGTTGTTTAAAAGTGTCTGGTGTATGCATTTAAAACAAGAGTTTTGTGTGGGTCATGAGAGATCAGAATCTTGTGCTGCTTACCTGATTTATCAGTGATAGTTTTCTGATCTACGTCAGCATTATGTTTGCAGAATCTCTCCACCTCAGCTCTCTCTCCCTGCAGTCGGCCGGAATCGCTGTTCCATGCTCGTGCATTTTTTACTCCAAGTTCAGTGTACCCCACATACTCCCCCACAGTGCTGTTGAACTGTATGAACACATCCTTATTGAAGATATAGTTATCAATGTACACCATGTCACTGAGATCATGGGAGCTCCAGATGCATTTACTCCACGTAGAAAGGAAATATCCATTTGCTGAAAAATAACGTTAAAGCAGTTTTACAGTTATGTCAGATGATTTCACATCAACCACAGAAAAACAGAAGAACTTGGACGCATTAGTCAGTTATTGCATTATTGAGTTGTCTTTTTTCAACAATACCAATAATAATTAATAATGAGAAGATTTTTGTCATCCTTATTTATCTTTCCATTTTGCATTATGCTATTTTATTTACCTGCTCCAGTGAATGCAGACAGCATCAATATAAGATGAAAACTCAAGACCTTCGGCAGTGACATTATCTCTCACTGTAATTGTCCCAACTGAAGAGGACTACTGCAATACATTAGGTGAATATCTAAATCAAACAGCCAATCAGCTTCTACACATATGAGTGTCAAGTGTTGCTAAGCAGTCTCCTGTTTTATTTTAGAACTAAAGACATTACAGGCTGTATTTTTCAAGCATCTCTGCTAATTTTATTTTAACATATTTGAACTTTTTTCAAGTTTATCATTCGTTTTTTAAAGTTGGTTGCGACACTCAAATACAAAAATCAGAAAAATTTCAACAGGAACTTATAGAAAGTAAAGTTTACATAAAGCTGTTTTGTTTTCTGCATTGTTATTATTATGTGTAAATGAAAAGAAAATAGGAAGAGGTCCCTGATTATACTGATTGTTAAACGGTAGAACAATTTTGCTGTAAAATTCTATATTAGTGTCTGATGGCAGCTACGGATGCACAAATACAATGATGATGTGGTACCAATCATCATTGGTACCACATCATATATTATTTTATAATGTTTTATAATGTGGTACCAATTTTGACCTCTTTTGAAGACTGGTTGCCTACATTAAAAATCGGTTTTCAGTACATTTCAGTACTCTAGTTATGTCAGTACTCTTCAATCCTACATATTTCCTCTACTTCCTCCTCCACTCTTCCTCTCACCTCTTCTTCTGCTATTTCCACCTCTGCTGACTTTACCACCTTCCTCTCTTCCACTCATTTCCTTCCCTTTTAATTTTTCTACCACTTTCCTTTAATGTTTGTTTGCATTGGGAATTCAGTTGACTTCCCTCAACTCCCTTAAACTTAACAAAAATGTTAATTGTTGTGTTAACAGTTTAGTGCATTTCCTTCCTGTGCTTAAATTGATAACCTTAATATATGTTTCAATTTTTAGATTAATGTGTTGTTCACAGAGCATTGAGAATAGTTTAAAAAAAATAAAAATCAACTGAGAAAAACACTTTTCAGCTCCTCTTCAAACTGTTAGTATATTCATGTGTTTTTTAAATTGTTATTAATCTCTTATTTTTTAGCAAGGACCACGCCACAACCATGAATGTTGAAGAAATATTTTATTGAATAGAATTTTATGGATGAATAGGCAGAAGATGAAGGGAAAGGGATAATGGGATGATTGTCAGGTTGATGGGCGTCTGGTGTTGGAGGCTCGCAGGATGGGAGAATCATCTCAGTTATATACGAGCGATTAGAATCCCCTGATGCAAGGAAGGAGAAATGGGGATGGTAAGGATGGTTGAATGGATGAGAGAGGGAGGGCAAGGGTGGGTTCGAGAGAACGAGACAAAAAGTCCTGTAAAGGGATGGCCCAATATACAGTAAGTACAGTTTTGGGAAGCTAGGTGATTGGTTGAGGAATGGCTTTGCTCCTAAACCTTAGTAAACTAGTTAACTTCCTTTTTTATGACTATTATCGACACTAATTTATACAGAAGAGGACTGCAATTATTTCAGCTATATTAAGACAAACTTGGCCTTTCAAACAGAGCATGGTGCTAACATAGTCGAGGGTTTGATTCCCAGGGAAAGAAAGAAAGGATAATATTTGTACCTTGAAGAAAATATCACTTTGGATAAAAGCATCTGCCAAAATTAACAAATGTAGGTATTGGCTATTTGCATAGGTCATTCTAAAATATCTTGTTGCTTTGGTTCCTCTGGTCAATTCTATTCTCATCTGTCCCTCTGTCTATCAACACATTTAGCCATGTCTGTTGTTTTATGGAAAACACTATCTAATAACCTTTTGAGGCTAATACCTTGCTTTGGGACAGATATATAAATGACAACACAATATAAAATGACAAGTGAAATCAAAATGAAGAATTTTTATTTGGAGTGCATGTCAGAAAACTTACAAGACCATGTAAAATGTATAACTTGATTATTACAACAATAACAGAAAATATCTAAATTTAAAAGCAACCTTATTTTCAAGCACACCTTACCACAATTTTTAAGAAAGTCATAATGTTTGTGGGAAAAGACTTGAATTGATCCAGCAATGAGGAAGACAATGAGCGCTCAACCAGAGAGTAACTAACAGCTTTTGTTCAAATTAAAATTCCAAACTCCAGCTATCACTCTTGATGACCTGAAAATGTGATGTAGCAAAGATATCAACTATCATTTTAAGCCTTTTATTCATCTCTATGTAAGTGTATATGTATATGGTGTTACATTTCGAGCAAGAAATATCAGGAAATATTAATTTTAAAGAAATAAATTTATATATATATATATATATATATATATATATGTCTGTGAATCTATTTATGAGAGACATAACGACGCACAGTATTATTGTTTTAATTTCCACTATAGTGCCAATTGAAACAGACTTTATTTGCAGGGCCTGCTACACACTATACAATTTCTTTTCAAAGTTTGCTTCCATTTCAGGGATGTCAGTTGCAGTTGTTTCCTTTAATGAGGAAGAAAGTTCCAGCAGCGACTCCCAGCAGTCCCAGAGACAGACCCACTCCACAGAACACAGCTGGACCAACACTGGGTACAGGAACTTCCACGTCTAGGATACACACACACAGCCATTTTGTTTATGTGCTTTTCAATAATGTAGAATTTTTTTTTTAGTGTTGCACTATTAATGGGGTTTCATTTTAGGCTGATGTTCTCACATATCACATATAATTTATTTGTATATATAAACAACTGGAGAAAATAAATAATAGAAATCTATTAGTCGAGTGATTCTAAACAAAACAGACACTCACCCCATGTTTTGGTCTGAGGTTCTTCGAGAGATGTGTGGTTCACAGTGCAGCTGTAAATGTCTCCCTCCACAGGTGTGAACTTCAGACTGGAGAAGATGTTGTAAGTGCCGTCATCATTTGGGCGATACTGACTTAGACTGTCTTCTTTAAAAACCTCGTTGTTCTTAGTCCATGAGACTCTGACAGGAGGAGGGAAGAATCCAGTCACATGACAAATGAGGACGTTTTCAACATTCAGCTGCACATCATTCTTAGTATAGATGGAAGTCTGAGGTTTGTCTGTGAACACAGGGAAATACATTGATGCTGTTTTTATTTTAAAAATCTGAGACAGTTTTTTACACTGTTTTTACAGTCAACTTGAGAACATTATTACACTGATATATTCTTATAAATATAAACATATGTAATTAAATAGGGGTAATTCAAATGCATACCAACCCATTTTCTCTTGTGGATTTTTATAAGCCTTGATAGCGACATCTAAGTTTGCTAAGCAAATTTGAATATCAGCTGAAGCACTATCATAGAATCCAGGGTAGGGATAGTGCTCTACAAAGTCAGGAAGAGCATCTACTTCTACTCCTTTAACAAAGTCTGCATAGAGTCGTTCCTCTCCGTCTACTCCATACATAAATTCTTTATCTGTATTAGAGCATCCACTTAAAACGAATTGTTCATGCACAACTGAAAAAGAAAAAAATCAGTATTAGCTCAATATAACAACACATTATTTTCAATCTAGACAGAATAATGTACATTAGAAAGGTCAATATAGGATTATTTGAATATGAGATGTATTCATTCGATTGCAAATGAGAACAAAATCATTTTTGTTTGTTAAATATGCCATAATTGTATGAGCTGTAGATTTTTCTGTCTCAGCCTTGTCTGATTACAGAATATAATACTATTATTATAAATTAAATATTAATGCAAAACAAACATTTTCAAGCCACAAGCATTTAAAGACTAGAACAGCCTTTTATTAATTATAATACATATCAGTATTCCTTGCATACAATTAAAGATGATGAAAATGTTAAGTGTTTTAAGTTGTTAAGTTTTTTTTTTTTACTGAATCCACTGACTTACCTTTATTCTCTGAGGAAACAAGAGCGACAAGCATGAACATAAACACGGAGAGCTCCATCTTTCTCAAAGCTAAATGGGACAAACACTACACAAACTCTATTTTGTGTAATGATAGTAGGTCTTTACTCCGCCTTATGGCTCATGTCACAGCCTTATAATCCCCTTAACCAATCAAAATCGTCCCTCACTCTGATATTCTTGTATCTTGGCAAAATATATATTTTTCCTGTTTTACATTTACAAGTTTTCTAAAATTAAGAGCAACCAGCAATCACATACAGTTTGCTGTATATGTATGACTTACTGTATACAGTATACAATTGCAATCTTTTTTGTTTGTGTTGTATTTAGAAAACTGGTTTACATAATCTAGAAAATACTATAGTAAATGTACAACAGTTCATACAAATAATGCAGTGACACATGGATTACTTTTGAGGACAGGAACATTTTAAATAACCTTGTTTGTGCATGGTTGTGTGCATGAGAACTGAGACGAGACCTCAATATAAAATAAAAAGTGTCCAGGATATGTTTGAAACAATAAATTGCCTGAGTGTTAATGTGTATGTTAGCCCTGTGATGGACTGGCCATTAGTCTGAGAAGATGCATAGGCTTCAGCATCACTTTTACAATATGACAAGATGTCCGGAGAATGGATGGATGAACTAACATAAACTCTAAATACAAGAGGTTTGTTTAGAGTACCTCTATATGCATTTCAATCTTGAATATCATTTTAATCACCATAAATCACAGCAGGTAAAATAATCTAAATTAAAATCATTTTCTGGATGTGGTGCCTTTGTGTTTATACTTTTAAGATATAAGGTTTCAGGAAATGTGGCTTATCTACTGCAAAACCTTTATTTTGTTTATTTTTGGGGGGCAAAACTGTCTAAGCCGCTGCAACACTGAACACCTTTTAGATCCATTAGTCATTTTAATTTGGATCAATGGCCACTAGATGGCCTTTTGAGTATTTACCATGCATTACGGTCATTTCATTATGATTGTATAAGTCATATTGCTTTTCTGTTAATGTTTTTTTTATAAAATGCACATGTTTGTTTGTTTGTTTGCTATACTTTTTTGCATTGCTTTTGCACCACTGTTTCAATTGGGAGATGATCAACCACAATATTTTTAGTGGTTTAAGAAAGGAATAAATCTTATGTTACCTGTTTAAGAGATATCCTATATCACATTAAAATGTCTCATTGTGACTGGTACAGTGGTGCTATACCCAAATCAACAAATTAAGCCATAATAAAGACTTTAAAAATTAGGAAAACCCTGAAGGGGTGGTGCGTTCTCTGAGGACAAGACTGCTAAATAACAAAAAAAAAAAAACAGGCATGACATAATGGCAGCACTAACAGTAAGGCCAGAGCCTACACCTCAATGACCACTGCAGTAATGCAGGATTCCCAGCTGCAAAATTAAAATAAATTGTACCACAATTATTTAAAATTACAACTTGATCAGTAACAATTGCTTCATCCAGTTCTTAAATTGCCACCTGCATGCCACAAGCAAAGAGAAATTAATATCCCACTGGTAATTATGACTTTATGGTTTTGTTCATGTGCACTCAGCTCATAAATCTGATTGCTCAGACATGAATTAAATGCACAATCATTTTCATTATAAAATGGAGAGTTACAGTTTGCAGCTACTGACTGCTCAATGATTCAGAATAACAGCGATGAGACAAAACACCTGTTACCATATTCACTGTACAACTCTCATAGTGGAACATGTTTGTGGCATAGCAAAAAAAAAAAAAAAAAAAAAGAAAAATGCCAGGGACTATATCTTCTGGCAGAATCTCATGAAAAGTGTGTCTTTATATTATATATTTAAATATCAAACACTTCATTATAAATCACAAATATGTGTTCAGATGTTTTTGTGAGGATAATACAGTATAGCTCATAGCCATTCAAATAAATATTTCTTAAATCAGATTGTACTAACATTGGCCTTTTTATTCCAATTACAGCTCACACTTATTAAGCACTTGCACAAACGTCGTCAAAACACGTAACTGGTCAAAACAGATCTTTAGTTCCGTTTTCAAAAACCGAATCATTTCACATGCTGCAACATCATCTGTTTACAGGGTAAACTTGAAATGATAACCACACAAGATCTTTTAAAATGTTTCCATTATTTATAAAGTAGTTCAAACATTGTTTTTGTTGTTTTTAAAAATCCTAAATACATAAATTGAAAGTAATGTTCCTGTCATATATCCTTGAGTACCATGTGTATAGCAAATTTGATTCAAAGCATGCTAAGATGCTGAGTCTTTGTTTCTAAATACTTAACATTATATTCAGTGACATAAGAGTGTATCTCACATTCTTAATTTATTTACTTTGGTTAGTAGGCAAAACTGTGTTCAGGCACTGTTCATCAAACTATACATAATATTATAGTAATTCAATACCCCATATTACTGTAATTCATAACATTTTTTCAAGCAAAAACATAAACACATTTTTCTGCTGTTTTAATTTAAAACGTTTTATGTATTTACTCATTATGAGGAATTTGATGCATATGGAAGGATTTTGGTCAGCATATTACAAGCAATGACCAATCATACAGAATTCACTACAGTGTCTTCGTAAAGTAAAGTGCCGTTTTTGGAATAGACCCCCATGGTGAACGTGATTTCACCAATAGTTTTCCTGGATCCACATCCTTGTTGATCTGGGAACAACATTCCAGTCATTTGTGGATAGGATGTCAAGTTCATATAAATAATTTACGCAGAAATGAATATAGTAGGACTGCAACAAGTGTTATATTACTTAAGACAGCCAGTTCGAAAAAGTGAAATAAATGAATTAAATCTTAGAGTCTGTTTTTGACAGATTTTAGTGTACATTAATTTACAAAACTGTAGAGTTAGTAAACATAGCTAAATGAAATGCCTAGTTTAAAAAAGCTTTGTTAAAAATGATCCAGAAGCTAGTCATGTGTTAATATCATTGACATATAGCATGTGTTATGTTGTTGTGTTAGTTTTAACCATTAAATTGGTTTACACAAATACTAATTGTATTACAGTAAAGTCTATGATACTAAGTTTAGATGCTGAAAAAGCCTTTGATTCTGTTAGCTGGACCTATCTTTATAAGGTTGTCCGCAAATTTGGCTTTCATGAAGTTATAATTAGAAGTATAACACACTTTATGATACACACCAACTGCAAAGACAAAGATGGTTATTTATCAAAGTAATTTACATTGGAAAGAGGCACAAGGCAAGGATGCCCATGGACCCCTCAATTATTTGCTCTCTATTTGGAACCCTTAGTACAAAGCATCAGGATAAAACAATCCAAGGCACCAAAAGGAGTGGAATACAAAATAGCCTGAGATGATATACTGATTTATCTTCTAACCAAGTCTTTACCTCAACTCATGAAACAATTTCAGAATTCTGGCCCTCTCTCTTGATTTAAATTGATAAAACAGAAATAATTTCATATAATTACAACGCATTCTCACCCCAAGGCGTCACCTTTGACCATGCTTCAATATTTGACGTTTTAGGCGCCCTTTAGCGTCACTTACATGACGCGATCCTACGGCGTCATCTAACTGACGCTAAAGGAAAGCGTCAGTTAGAGGACGCGGTTAGGTTTAGGTGTGGGGTGGGGGTAGGGTACACGCGATCCTAGGGCGTCATCTAACTGACGCTAAAGGGCGCCTAAAGCGTCAGATATTGAAGCATGTTCAAATGCTTCCCACGGCGTCAGTTAGGTGACGCATTGGGAGTGAGAATGGGCTGATAATTATAATCCCCCTATAAACATAAAAAAATTACATATTTATTAAAATGGCTTACAAAATAATTTAAATATTTAGATATCCTTTTTACTAAAAACAGAGAAAAATTAGAAAGAAAGAATTTTGATCTAACTGTAAAAATCAGAGAAGATTTAGCCAAATGGAATCTAATTTCCTTTTTTAGTTTTAGATCAAGGATTGAAGCAATTAAAATGAATGTATTACCAAAATATCTTTACCTACTCCAATGTCTACCTGTAGAAATTACCGGAAAACAATTCACAGAATAATGGGATAAAATACTTTCACATTTTATTTGGCAAGGGGAAAAGCCCAGAGTACGCTTTAAAACATTGCAGCTCCCAAAGGATAAAGGAGGTTGGGCTCTTCCCTTATTAAAAGATTATTAGCAGTGCAAATTAGGACAGTGGTATATTGGTATATTGACCCACATTATAATGCTCCTTGGAAGGATATGGAAATTTATACTACAAAGAATATTCTGATGTACAAACAATATTAGGCGATAATAATTTATATAGATAAGCTAGAACAAAGCTTACGTTAAATGTTTGGGCAACTGTGATTAAAAAAAAAATGTTGGAATACACTTCAATTTTTAAATGGATTGCTTATGACTTAGACTTCACTCCAAATCAGTCTGATAACAGGTTTAAATTGTGGACATTAGGGAATAACTTCTTTGTGCACAATCATTGAGAAAGGTGAAATTTTAAGCTTTCTGGTCAAAAGTTCCTCAAAATAGTTTAAAACAATATAAACTTATAGATTCCTTCTGATGTTAAGTATTAAAGGAAAGGTTTTTACTAGAAAATCAAGATTTTTATAGGTACCTTCAGGTTCGAAGTTATTATGATAAAAAAATAAAAGGAAACATCAAAGACAATTTGAATCCACTATACACATCAGGTATTACATATAAGATAGTCTCTCGGATATACGAGATTAATAAATATGAAAACACACTCTACAAGTTACATCAAAGAGAAAATGTTGACAGAAAGTGGAATAATTTTTACTGATGAAGAGTGGTCAACTGTATGGAAATTTCAGTGGAAATCAACAAGGTCACTAAATTGCTGGAAACATTGTTAGATAATTTATAACACTGCAAACGGCCATATGCAGTAAAACACCCCAAAATGTTGGCGAAACTGTGGACGTAATGAAGCAAACCATTACCATATATTTTGGGAATGTCTATATATTCAAGAATATTGGAAATAAACACAGGATGCTCTTGAACATATTTTTAAAGGACACCTCTAGAATGCAAATT